TTTTACCTTCTGCCAGTAAATCCGTAGTACCAATGTAAGGGTGGACCAACGTCACGTCCGCCATCAAGCCCTCGTACTGCTCGGACCCTCGATCGCGGATTCCAGGGATGTGGATATCGCCCTTCATCTTGCGGCCATGAGGATGGGAGGATACCTTTCGTCGAGACCGAGGATCCCCGACTGTATCGATGACGCGCTGAAGACCAGCTTGGTTCAGCATCGACCGGCGTACGAGTAAGGTTGTCATGCGCCGTGGGAAGCTTGGAGGATCGGCGTTTGCAGGTCTGGAGATGATGCGCAGCAACGGAGGGGTCGAGCTCGCGCTGACATCCATCACATTCCGTCGGACACTGGCAGATCGGCATGCCATGGAGATAGCAGTCGAGCATCTGAGCATAGCGGTGCGGGAAGGCCTTGAGGGGGTAGTAGCTCGAGACTCGCATCGGCACACAGCGCACAGCGAGAAGCTGCACAACTGGGGTGCTTGCGCCGGTCCTTGGGCATTGACTCGGAGGCTAGGAGGACTACCTCGAGCGGTACCGTGTTCCTGTGTCCAGTCCAGCCTCCCTCCGTCCGCTGCCCCCGGCGGACCCCCGGGCAACGCCGGCTCCTTGTCGGCGGCTGCCCTTTCTCCGTCCGCGACCGCCAGCTTTGTGGCGGCAGCGGACGTCTCGATTGACAGTGCCGGGTCAGTCGGCTGCCTCCGGGTATCGCGTCTAAGGCCCGGGATTTTATTCCGAGTCCTGCATGCTCCTGCTGCTTGTTGCTTGATTGCTTGACCCTTCGGCTGCTGGAAGGAGAAGATTTACTGGCAGAAGGTAAAAAGTGCCTCAAGCAAAACAAAGCAGGAACACGGTACCGCTCGAGGTAGTCTTCCTCGCTAACCTCCGAGTCAGCGGTAGCCGAGATTGAACACCGCCCGTGACGGCGGCGACGCCGCAGCAATGCCCAAGGACCGGCGGGACCCGACCGATGCCGGGGAGGAAGCAGGCGAGCTCGGACTTGATGGCGGATGTGACGTTGGTCCAAACCTACATTCTTCTATGAGGTTTACTCGTAGAAGGCTACATTGGGTCTGAGTTTTACTCGCATAAGGTAAAAAGTGCCTCAAGCAGAACAAGCCCGGTTTACTCACAGAAGGTAAAAAGTGCCTCAAGCAGAACAAAGCAGGAACACCTTTAGAGTTTTGATCGCATAAGGTAAAAAGTGCCTCAAGCAGAACACCTATAGAGCTGTTCTCGCATAAGGGAAAAAGTGCCTCAAGCAAAAGAAAGAAGGAACAAGCTAAACCTGCATGCACACAGCGCACAGCGAGAAGCTGCACAATCACACACAAAACACAAGACACAAAAAGAACCAGCACTGCCGCCAGCCCACGCGCGAAGCCGCGCAGACAAGCAGCCGAAGGGTCAAGCAACAAGCAGCAGGAGGGGACGTCCGAGATGAAACTCCCTTAGACGCGATACCCGGAGGCATCCGACTGACCACTGTCAGTCGAGACGTCCGCCGCCGCCGCAAAGCTCAGCAGAGTCTCCATAGTAGCTGGAGAGGTAGGAGGCGAACAAACGGAGAGGCTCGCAAGAGGGCAAGCTTGCGCCTTCATTGATGCGCCCATCAAAGTAGTCGCGACTCGCACGTTCCTCGATTGTGTCGAAGAGAGCCTGGCGGTCGAGGGAGTTGAAGGCGTTCTTTGCATCCAAACTCACCAGCACTGTGGGGTTCGCGACGTCCTCCTCATCACCGCGAGCATGAAGAGGCAGGAGCGCTGACGCGGTTTGCGAGAACTTCAAACAGCCGTCTTGATCGAGTCCGAACTGAATCGCTCGAGGGTGAGACGAGAGGAAGTGCTGGTCAAGAAATGAGCGAATCCCTGCCAACGCAAGCTTCGTCGCGAGTCGACGGTGTGCGGACACGATGACAATGGGCCGGAGGCCAGGTTTATCAGCTCCCTTGGAGAGGGGAATAAATCTGCCTCCTCGACGAATGGCCGACAGGGCAGGAATAAGCAAAACCGTCAGGCATAGAGCACACAGCAACAAGGGTCTTGTGCTTTGTGTGTTTGCGCCGCTCTTGTCCTTGCCTCGGTCACTGGCCCTCCTCCTCTGCTCCTCCCGCCTCCTCGTCCTTCTCCTCCACCTGAGGGATCGCGACGATGAATCTCGTCGCTCTCCTTCCGTCCACCTCCTCCTGGCTGAGACTCGAGAGAGGACGAGGCAGCCGAGGAGACACGCGCGGGTCATGTATCCTACAGGGAGAGCAGCCGATAACCAGTCCGAGCACCTGCCGATCTATCAGCTGCTGCTGCTGCTGCTGCTGCTGCTGCTGCTGCTGCTGCTGCTGCTGCTGCTGCTGCTGCTGCTGCTGCTGCTGCTGCTGCTGCTGCTGCTGCTGCTGCTGCTGCTGCTGCTGCTGCTGCTGCTGCTGCTTCTGCTTCTGCTGCTGCTGCTGCTGCGTGCTGCTGCTGCCGGTCCTGCTGTCAGAATCTGCTTGTCCTTGTCTTTCGCTTTCCCCTCCCTTGCTGACCGTGTGAGGACGAGCAGGCAACGTCACTCCCCCCTCCTCCTCCAGCCGCTGCTTGCTCGTGCTCATACGTCGACGTGCTGGACGAAAAGCAGCGGGAGGATGAATATCGCATTCATTCCCATAGACCAGGCCAGCTGGAGAAAGTGAGGTTCAGTTGCACAAGAGTAAGAGAAAGATATGAAGAAAGAAAAGTAAAGGAG